TTCAACATTGCATCCAGCACCTTCAAAAGACCTTTACCACGCAGGAGCTGTTGTTGTGAACCTGAATTTAGATACCGCCGTTCTCGCCACGCTTACCCTCCGGCCTGGTCGTTGCCCCTGCGAGTGCTAAGCCGAACCACTCTCCATCACCGGCCATACAGTCATCCCGAACGTCGTACCAGCAAGCACAACGAGCGCTATATACATGGCGGAACGAAGAATTGAAAAAGCAAAGCAAAATTCCCAAACCGGGACTCGAACCCGGGTCGCGTGGGTGAAAGCCACGTATCCTAACCGCCAAGGCTATCTGGGAGCACCTTCTATTAACCAAAATAAACTGAATTAAACCTTCTAAATTAATATACATTCCATTTTTTTCTAAAAAAGTTAATCCAGGTAAAATTAAATTAGAATTTTGTGCATCTTTTGTAAAATGATGTGCATTCAAATAATAAAATTATTTTTAGACATTTTTAATTTATTTTGTAAATTTGTATTAAATAAATAATATAAATTAAAATTATTTAATGAATTTCGTGGTTTTGGGAAAGTAATTTCCAAAAAATTAATTAAAGAAGTTTGTGAATTAAAAAAATTAATATTATTATTAATAAATGATAAATTTTTTAATTTTGAAAAAATAAACGATCCATTTTTTTGATTTATAATATTTTCACCTAAAATAATTAAAGGTTTTTTTGCTTTTTTTAAATCTTTACAAAATAAATGTTTTCCTAATATAATATTTATCAAGGTTTTAAAAGTTAATCCTAAATGTTTTATAGGGTAAGTGAAATTAGTTTTATTACCTATATAAGCTATTTTAAAATTCCCTTTTTTTAAACGATTTATTAGATGAATATTTAAAATAGAACACGTGCAAAGCCAAAGACGAAAGTTCTGCGTCTTCGTCACACCGGGAAGGCCTGCTCCCAACCTTGTGATATTCCGCGAGATACTGTTCCTCTGCATACGCTTGAAGGGTAATCAGCGTAGATAGAAGCTGGTCGATAGTAAATGAGTCATTTATGACATCTTTGATCTTGCCCCACTTTGACTCAATCCTGTTATTGGTATTGTTTGTCAAGTGGGGGACGTTGCCGCGCTGGTAAGAGACCCACTCCTCTTGACTGTTGTCCCAGTTTTCCATAAATGTCCTGTATAACTGGTGCCTTGTATCGCCACCAAGTTGCTGCAACATTGCTCCACGAGCATCTTCATACTCCTTTTTTGAGGTAGCGTAAACCAGAAGCCTCACCAAACTTTTCACTTCCTTCTTCACGGCGGGTGCCAACCTGGTGACCTGTTTCTTCAACCATGTAATCACGTGCCACTGGCAGAGCAACTGGCGGGCGTCAGGAAACATCTCTTGTAGTACTTCCTTCTCATGGACAGCTTTGTCGGTCATAATCACGCGTATCTTCGTCCATTCGGGGTTGTTGGCTTTGAAAATCTCCACTACGCTCCGCAAATTGACTTTGTGCTCACTTTCTACAAGAGCATGGTGTACGTATTGGCCCTAATGGACGTGTTAGATTAATAACTAATGAATAAAACATCTAGCTTTACACGCATACCTTTCCGAATACATCGTGAACTACAAAGCTGAATAACTTGTACCGATTGACGTTCGTGCTATGAGTGGAATCGACCATGACGACCTCAGGAAAAGCCTTGAACAATCTTTTCATCTTTGCGGTCTGAACGTGGCGACACGAGCAACGTCTGTCTCACAGTCGACCAAAACGTCAACAGAGTTTCCGCCGTTTTGCCTACAAAACTCGTCCAGGACTGCAAACGCCCTCTGAACATCGTTAAGCCCCGCCTGCTCCTTCATCCTATGCCGCTGCACCATATTATGAACGTCACGGAGAGTAGTTCTCTTGCCTATGTTATAACACCAAAGAAAAACAGAAAAATATCATTAACCGAAAACATACCAAACAAGTGATGGTATGTACCTGTGCGCTCCCGTAAGTACTTCAGGATTCCCTGAGCATTAGCTCCTGCCTTGCGAAGTACTTCGACATCATTCGTCAACCGCGGGTCCTTGACAATCCTGTTCTCTGCGTAGTTCTCCCAAATGCGCTTGTTCAAGCTGTGGTTGTGATTCCCCGACGTGGTTACCCTCACGTACCACGTACCACTAATGCTGAAAGTCACCCGCGCGTTCACTCTCGCCGTGCACTTCGTATCACGAACCGAATTGTGTTTTCTGGATCCTTTGCCGCGTGGCTCATACGGCTGACCATGGGTGCACACGAGCGTCTCCGAGTAAGTTTACCACTGCTTGGGAACCAAACGAACATCTTTCCGCTTCCTCTTTCCGGCCGCCATGGTCTTCTTCGCAGCCCGAAGTATCTGCTTGTTCCGTACCTTGACAGACGTGCTTGTCCGCTTGGAAAATTGCTGGAAAGACTGGACTTGGTGGGCGTCAAAAGCAGCGTGGAACTCCTCCCAGGTATTAAACATCTTGGTACCTGGTTGGAAGAATGAATCACCAGCGTCTTGTTTATTCTTAGTAAACGTTTGGTGTACATTCGGTGATGAATTCGGTTTGTCTTCGGTATCACTTGAATCATCACTTGAACCATCATTTGCGTCCAAAACGTCTCCACCATCGCCTTCACTTTCGACTTAAGTGGTACCACTGGCGGCACCATCGCCGCGATCTCCATCATTCTCGGCCAATAATCCTTCAGATCCCCCTTCCGCTGCATCACTTTCGCCACTCTCCCCTTTGGTCTTGTCGTCTTCGTAATCGGAGTCACTGCAAGACACAGACGGTTCGCTATCGACTTGATCAATAGCCTCCAGCGCCTCGTGAAGCGCAGCGTTGTAGATCCTTGAGTTAGACTTCTTGCGGGACCTTGGCGCACTGTCGTCGCTGGCTTTCGTGGGATCTTCAGCTAGCAGCGTAGCAGCGGTACTGCGCGTCACCATCGTCTTCCCCTCGGCCACGAGACGTGCCGCTTGCTTTTGAAGCTTTATTCGCATGAGTGTTTCAGTATGATACGCCGCGCGATCATTGCTGCCACGGTCGTGAATTGGAGACGGGGGCAGTTTCTTCAAAGCTGCTAGCGTATCATCCCATTCCTTTCGCTTTTTGTCACGAATCCGGATGCGATCCAGCTCTGCACTATCACGGAGCGTGCGGTCCACACGCCCGTAGCCTGGATACGGTGAAGAATTTGAACTGTCGCCCTGTTAACATCATAGCAGAGTCAGTGAGTGAGTGTAATAGAGTGAGGTGTTGTGTGTCAACGTACCATTCCTGCTGTGTGCGCCGCTAACCGTGCTGGGACCTTCAATCTGTCTTCTGGCTCCAAGGGGGAGGAATCGACGAATGCCAATCGAATCGTGCGGCGCACAATTTTCCAAAATCTGAGGATTTTAAACGGTAAGGTATTTTATCGTCTCTTCAACCCAATCCCCGGAAACCGGCTCAATATGTGCAACCGAAAGTTGACTGAAAGTGACAGAACTTACACTGAAATCAGTTCCTAAATTTGGTGGTAGCAGCGTCTCCCCTTAATTGTGACTAGAGCTGTCGACGTCTGGTGTATTCGAAGATTTACACCTCGACATCCAGAAATGCAAACGACGTAAAAAAATACACCCTTCGACATCCACCTTTGGGTCACTCTTTCGAATTAAGGTGCTGCTGTTTGTGGAGAGCAACCTCACCAAATGTGGCGTTGTTGCTCATGCTCCATGGCCGTTTGAAGCCCAATCCATCTATTGATACAAGCCCTCAAAGAACGTCCGATGCGCAGGTCGCACAGCAGCAAGCAGGGATTGGCAATATCGGCAGTGCCCAGACATCAATTACTGCTCCGCGCTGGCTTCGTGCACACGAGTGCTTCCTGTCATTTGGTCGGAACAGGTGCACAAGTTTGGCGCCAAATCAATCTGGCTGTACTGAATTGGCGCTGAATGGGTCTAAAATGAACGATGCGCTGGGCGCGGAGTAAACCTTCGTGGCTTGCCAAGATCCATGAGGATCTTCTTAGAAGTGGGTGTGTAAATATGGCAGTTGGCAAGCTGAAAAATGGCAGGTTATGACTGGGCTCTCTCACATAGTTTCGACCAATCACACTACGAGAATCGTATGAGTGTCGGCGTGGTGCAACGGCGCGACATGTGCAAAAGATCAGACGTCCGGCGTCGTCGACGTCGAATCAGTGCCAAGGGTCGCGACGTCGACAGCTCTAATTGTGACCGTCACAATTGCTTTCTCGTCGAGCTGCGCACTCCCCTTAACGGGTGACTTTATACCAAATGAATGTCCGTACACCACGCCGGAGAGCTAAACTCCTTCTTGCATTCATCTGTGTGCTTGCCATCGCGCCGACTCAGTCGTCAGCATGGTCCTTCTCGTCGCGCTTTGGAGGTGACGACGACGATAAATCGAGTTCAGATGCAAAGAGCAACACGCAGACCGAAACGCAAGATCAAGCGAAGCAAGAGGCCGACGATCTCTCGGATGGTACTGACATTAACGTGACGCAGCCTCTCCTCAAACCGGAAGACTGGTTCATCACAGAGGAGGGAATCGTCGCGTCTCGCGGCGGAATTCCCCGTGACGGACTGCAGACGTACACTACCGGCAATAATATCACGGTCTACACCGTGGCGAATGAGTTTTTTAGTGCGGTTGTGAAAGATTTCCGGGCGACGAAGGAGGGCGATCGTGTAATGTATGCGGGATGGGATACGTGTATCATCCCGTTCGAGGCGGACATTGACCCCACTGGCTCCATGACAGGCTTCGACGTCATGTTCAAGGGAATTGTCAAGCGAGGTGGGAGCGTCAACATCTTGTCGTGGTCGAATTACCTGCTGACGGCACAGAATGTCAAGGCTCGGAATGCTATCAACAAGATTCCTCCGTCTCCTATTAACGGAGCCAAGGCCGTGTACCTCTTCGACGACCGAGTCCCTATTTTATCCTCGTCTCAACACCAGAAGACGATCGTCATCGCAGTAAACAAGTCTACAGGAGAGGATGAGCATCCTATTGCGTACGTCGGGGGTATCGACCTTACCAATGATCGCTGGGATACCATCTACCACAATAATACGGCCATACGGGAAGCTGCCAACATTCCTTTTCGGAACAAAGGCTGGGTAGACGCTCACTTCCGCATCCACGGACCGGCAGCGAAAGAAGTGGCCAATAATTTTCTTCAGCGATGGAACTCCGACTACAAGCCGAATCGAGGGCTGGAAGGTCATCTGCGTACTTTCGACAACCCCGACTATGACAAGCTACCACCGATCGATTATGCCAGCAGCAATACTTCGTCAAAACTCGGCAACCAGAACATCCAGATCGTGCGAACTTTCAGCTGCATCTACAAGCACTACAAAGAGTTTGCCCCCCGTGGCGAACAGTCTCTCTTCAGGGCTCGTATCAAGGCGCTAAAGAACGCTCAAAACTTCATCTACATTGAGGATCAGTACTTCATCTACGTACCAGAACTCCTGAAAGCAGTTATGGAGGTTTTGCCCAGAATTCAGCGCCTCGTTGTGGTTCTTCAGCCTCCCGATGCTCTGCTCAAGGCGTCAGGATACGGGAAGTATATCTATGAAATGATCCACCCAATGAAGAAGAAATTTCCTAACAAGGTCCAGATCTACACCACCAAATCCGAACTCGACATCTACGTCCACACCAAACTCGTGCTCATCGACGACGTCTACGTATCATTAGGCTCAGCGAACTGGAACCGCCGTAGTATGACGTCCGACTCGGAACTCAACGCGAACGTGATTGATGATGAAACCGTAGAGTCACCGGATGGTATCACAGTTCTGAAGCTGGCTCGCGATGTGCGTATTCGAAAGTTCGTCGAGATGACGGGACTGAGCTACGAGAAGCTGGACGCGATGAAGTTCATTGACGCAGCTGACGAATTTAAGGTGGCTGCGAAAAGTGACTCGACTATTCTAACGGACTTTGGCGTCAAGTACAGCGTCTACTACGAGACGTTCATCAGCAAGTTCCGGGAACAGGTGGATCCGCAGGAAGTGTGCAGCTTTTCGGACTCTGGTTCCATGCGGGATCTTCAGTAGGGTACGGCTGGGAATGAGATATTACATGTCATAAATTATCAGTTATTACCACGTAACATGTTCGGGTACTGGACTACTTTTGTATGAACTAATACAAGTACTACATGTGTACCAGGGATCCTAAGAAATAAATTTACTAAAAATATTTTTATAAATTAAAAAAATAACTTACTTTATGGTTTGAATATTTATTTATGGACTTTGTGCACGAAATTTATGGTCCTTGTTGGCAATTTCGCTGGCTCTGAGCCGATGCCACCGACGCAAACTCACTTTGCACTTTGCGCACACCCCAAACTACCACCTTGTAAGATTAGCCATGTCTAACGCTTATCTGACGCATTCCCAACGCTCGATGAGCAAGTTCTCCTCGAAGCCATTAATTTAGTAACACGAACATGTTTAGATGCAGATAATCATTCTCCACAGTCGCAGCACAAGTTATTTATTCGATCTACTATGCAGGTACATGTATCTATTTTCATTAGACGAAGAAATCCATGTAAATTATATTTTGAGGAACCCTGACCTCAAGAGATATTATCTCTTAAAGTAGTACCGTAGTGTAGTACTCCTGTGCTTTCGGGAGCGTAAAGTAGCGATTTTCATCACTATTAATAGACGTGAGACGCTGTAGTTGTGCGTAGCGCGCCGAGCACTTCACCTAAAGTTTCCATAAGCTAACCAACGAAACAAGGAGGCCTTTTGTTTTGTTTTTTCCTGCCCATTTTACTTAACTCAAGCAGAGCTCAATCGTTTGATAAATCACGAGCGTTTTCTCTTGCTTTGTTGAGCCCTCTAGACTTGCAATTGGTCTAGCAGCGCATTGTACTCGACGCACTTTTCGGACAGCACGAGGATCATCTGCCGATAACTGGCCAGCACCTTTTCGACTCGCGAGTGGAGCGCCAGCGCGCGTTCGCTCTGTAATTCACTCTGTGATTCAATATGTGTTAGCTTTGTCTGTTGCTGGGCGTCGGGCGCGCGTAGTTGGTCAATGACGCGCACTAATTGTTGCAGTTGCTGCAACTGGGTCGAAACTTGCTGCACGCGGTCCGCCGAGCTCAGGATGGCGGCACGCTTTAGTTCATCACCGGCTCTGGAGCTGCTGTGTGCAAAAGCACTCGCGGACGTGAGCTGCAACTGCCCGGCGTGCTCCTGATCTGTGTCAACGCAGCAGATGTTAGGGATTCCTTAACTTTAATACTCATTGAAAACTTGCCACACACAGAGGTCACGAAGCTTGGGGGACCCGGGGACAGCAGTGGATAGCTGGTCCAGCTGCAGCTGAAGACTGCGCAGACGGTCGATGACCGCAGAGGAGGCAACGCGCGGCGGTGACGCGCCCAGCACCTTTGCCCGCAACGCAGCCTCGCGAATCTCGAGTAAATCCATAATTTATTATGTTCTTTCCAAATTTTGAGGTTTTACGTAGTACAACTTGTACTCCTACAGTATTCTGCCTTAATATGATAGTCCTGAAATAAATATAGTTTCCAAGGTATTTGTGTGACAGAGGTTTCAACCATGACGTTTTAACGGGCCGCGAAGATGCAGTGTCAGCTGTTACCGGTACTATATTAGTTTTAAAGCTTTCTTATTAAGGCAAAATACTGTAGTAACGTTAGTTCAGTGTAGGACAGACTCCTCCCAGAAACTAAAATGCACATACAGCTTATACCCTCGCAAACGCGGTCATACGTCTTTCAGCTTATTCAGCCAGAGCATACGTGGTACTAACTTTTTGCAAGAATCCATACCAAAATTTATCGGACCCTCGGGAGAGCACTTAGAACCTAAAGGAAAATTAAAGGCGGGAGTTTGCTGCATCCCCCGATGGGGTCCCGCGGACAGCCGACAGGCGCATTGCTGTTCACAGACAGGGTTCTCGTCCTGAATCCTTACATGTAGATTCTACAGTTTACTGTAGTGTCACCATTGAAGAGACAGATGATCAACCACGCAAACTGTTTGCCCGGGCAAACACTCTTCAGATCCAGAGAAAAACACCCTGCCATCGCAATGCAACGATACCGAAATGCCAGCGTTTTATTCCTATCTAAGGGTATTCTCGATGTGGGTGGCTCACTTGCAAAATTACCAACATCGTGCTAACCCCAACCCTTCACACTAACAGGTAGCCGAGTGGGCCTATTCAACTTTGTCGCTGCAGCAGCGCCATCTCAAGGGGCAATATCTAAGCCTCGACTTTTGCGAAGTGTTCGAGACACAGCGGTCTACTCGATTACTATGCGTGTTAATACAGTGGGCCAGAAGAGGAAGTCCCCATGACCGAAGAGCTAACTACAATGTACATGCGTCCGATCCGATGTCGGTGACGGAACTGTTGAATCCACCAGATGAGAACGTGTACAACGGCCCCATCGACGGCGAGTTCTGCGGAGTCGAAATAAAGGACGTTTCAGCGAGTAATATCTCGATGAGTGCCTCAGAGAATACTGGAGGCGAAGCAAATAATGGCTTTGTAGAGCTTAATTCTGCGAATATTAGGGGCAAAGCTGCTTATTCGAGTAGATTCAACGGGCGAAGTGAGCAGGGGCTTAGAGCGATCCAGAGTAATGAAGAGAGATGAGATAAGCACGAAGGAAGGGTGCAAGCAGCAAGTGTCCTGGCTTGCCTACTTTTGACGTGTTATACAATAACATCTTTTCCACCTCAGAAGAGTCCTTGAATTCCATATTCCAAGCGACCGATTTTTTTTTCTTGTCGGAGAGAACGAAATTACTACTGAAGGGTTCATCTGTACTGCTATTAATTTGTTGAAAATGGAAATGAGTATGTTGCCCTGACACTTATTTAGAGTATTGAACACGAGAGCACGTTTACTAGTATTACAAAGCTACAGTATATGTACCTGTCTCGGAACTAATATCCAAGCTTATTAATATGAATAGCAATATTAATAATTAACTCAAATGTAGCCAAGTCCCGCCCCGGCCTCATATTTATCAGATAGAAGCCATGGTAAGGCGGGCCCACGACGCCGACAAGTGCAAGCGCGTTAGTGTACCTATACTCCAATTTAAACGGGCTATACTGTTGTACACGTATAAATGCTGACCTCAGTCGGGCTTAATAACGAGTACGTTTTCAAATGACTAAAATAGTGTTAGACTATCATTGAACTGTCTATTTCTGGGGACTCGAATGCTTTCAATGATATTGTGAGCTCTAGTCGAAATTTCCAAACCGGCCGATTGAACCGCTCCCGAGGCAAAATATTTGTATTAATAGTACTCCCACCTTAAGTATATAATAAGATTCCACGACAGCTGTTCTGAAATAGCTTAAACTTTGTAAGTGAACGACTTCAAACTTGGTCAAAGTTGATTATACACCAGCACGAATAAACTTGATGGCAGTAAGTAAACGTCTTTTATTTAGCCCATTGCTAAAAGAAACATAGCGAGGCTCCGAAGTAGCATCGGTGGGGTCTCCATAAACGAGCGTTCATTATCTTGTTCACGTTGGCGTATTACATGATAGACGTCCACGCGTACCAGCTGGTTCTGATTCGACATCTCGAATCAAAAAGATTAATTTCAAAAGTAGTTTTTACTGTTAAACTAAAAACAACATTTTTGCTAAAATCGGGAAATGGCTGTCTAACGATTTTCTGTTGTTTTGTTGACCGGTAGTAGCACAGCAAAATTTACTTTGTCTTTCGAAGAAATCCGCATTCAAACTTTACTAGGTATTGGCTTGCATTGCTTTCTGATACTGTATCATGTTATCTTACACTTACGTGGAAAGTGTGAGGCACGATTTTCTAAACTGTGAGCAGATGAACCCTTCCGTTATCATCAACATTCAGTACTATATAAGGGTATTTTTATCGGGGGGGGGGCTAAGCAAAGTGTACCTTCTAAATGGTACACAAATAAAAGTCCAACATGATTTTGGATTGGACCAATAAAAACGTCTAAAAGTTTCCTTATCGTTATAAACAGTGTCTAAAACGTTCAAAACGTCTAAAAGTCAGCCGTGGCAGTTAGAGCTGTTATTTTTTTAAACTTAATTACGTATTTAGCGAAACGAGAGTTAAATACGTTAAATACAGATAAATAGTTTACAATTAGAAGTTTCTTGAGAGGCTTCGGCGTGGAGGCAGTGCAGCACCACTCTCCACGCTCCTCTCAATTCAAATGAAAAATGCCTTTTACGTCGAGTTTGAGCACCTGTCGGATACAACAGGTCCTGTGCTCTTCACGATAGAACTATACGATAGTTGTTGTGCTTAACAGTGCTAACATCAAGGATATGTAAATGTTGAACGGCTTAGCCGCAAGCAGCCCTCTCTGTGAATATAGCTGATACTTCCGCAAGCCCAGGAATATCTAGAGGTTGAGCACCAATACTGATAGTCCATAACGGACAAGCCACAAGCCTCAGGTTACTTTTTAGCAGTTCCGGGTTGGTGAGTGCCTAATCCTTACGTACAAGTGCAGGTGCGGCAGGATTGATCACTTCAGCCATCCACTTTGTTCTAAACCAGGACTCTATTCGTCCGGCAAAGTATCATATGAATCCAAATTTTCATCGTCCGGCTTGTACTTGTCAGCTTCCGCTGCACACGGTTGACCAGTGTCTTTTGTGCTCACGATCTTGATACCGTTGCCGTTACTGATATAGAGATGCGCTAGTTGCACGCAGTCCAGACTGCAACACACCACGAGGTATGATTTATTGCAGCAGCTCACTCACTTCGGCTTTATTTTAAGGTCGCGTACATCTTTGCGGTCTTCGTCTTTGTCGACATGCGATTAGCACCGTCATGAACCGTCCATCGCCGTGCCGTTCCTGAACACAGGGGTCTGAATAAAAAAATTCAGTATCACTAAAATCAGTTTTTAAATTTAAAAACGGATTACTGCAACTTTCTTAAATGATATTGTTCCAATATCTCCATTATAATTTACAAAAGTAGGCTCATAGAAACTTTAGGTGCCTTGCGAAACAATTGGACGTCAGCAACCACCTCAACACCATATCTTGATGCCTGTATTACCCATACTAGCTCTTAGTATTAAATCTGTTAGCCAGTCTTTATCTCAGTTTAACGGGGCACGTAGCCCTAAGTGTACCCCTAGTTACATGAAGTGTAAACACGTCACACTTCGCAATATTTGGTACAAGGTACCAAGGTCGTCCAAAGCCAACCATTGGTTGATGACATTGCTTTTCTAAAGGTGACTTATAGTTTAGTATTTAACCCAAGCTTTATCTACCTATAAATATACTCAATTTACATTCTACCTTAAATAGGTCACTTTGCTCCCTTTCGATAAAAGGGGACCTGTGAACTGCCGTTCACTGAAAGTTTGTATCCTCTCGGATGCTAACTTCCCCTAGCGCAAGGTGCTGTGTGACCCCGTCACACTCAGAGTCCACAAGCAAGCAACTTGCAATGGACTACTCACTCTATTACTCCGACTTCCGAAAGCACCCTCCCTCAAATACGATGCCCTCCAACAAAGACATCTGCTCTTACTTCTACGGGCCCCTCGGCAAGGGCCACTTCCTCTTCAAGCAGCGCGGTAGTGAGCGCAAACAGCTCCCCAACTCTGGCTACTCAAACCTGATGGCCCACCTGACGCTCAAGCACGAAGGCTTCAAGGCCCAGTATCGCGCGTCTCTGCCCGGCAACGCGGGCCGTCTCCAGGACTATGGTTTCGTATCCGAGGAGGCGTCCCATCGCTTCCAGTGGATGCGTTGGATTGTGGATCGGAACATGCCGCTCTCTGAGGTGAACGGCATTCCTACAACACAACTACAACGTCACGACAGATCTTGCAGCAACACAATGGGCTTGTAGCACTACAACGAGTGCCACAAGAAGCAACTCTAGAAGGGTCGATCGTAATCTATTCGTGATATATTTCAGAAACCTCGAAACTTACGATTTCACTTTGACAAATTTGTAATAGGCGAAGGCACATTCTGCGACGATTCAATCGAAACAAAGAGACTTGAAAAATAAATGAATTTAAGACAACACAGATGCAGGCGCTTGTACCAGCACCGCTAGTGAAGATCTAACGCCCCTAGCGCCTCCATTCCCTCCTGCCACACGTCATAGCTACTCTCGAACTCATAATTCGAGGTTGTGCAAAGAGCTATTACGCTCTAAACTCCGGCGAATTCAACGCATGGAAGAGAAGTTGTCGATGTTGGCTCAACACTCGGAGAGGCTAATACAAGCTCGGGATGAGCTCGCCTCAATGCTAGCCGAAGCGAAAGGTGATGCAGCACGCCTAGCAGTTGCAGTTGGGACCGTCACTTTGGACAGAGGCTACGTGATGTCATACAGTTTAATGCTGGAGGAATGCTGCAATATAATGCTTGATAGACACAGAGTTAAAATAGAAGCACGT